AATCGCTGCCTATCTGGATGTTAACACTAGTTCTGCTTGCCTGCAGGCATCCTTTAATTTGGGTTTTAAGATGTAGATGGACTCCACCATTGTGGCTTTTCAAAAATGGATTAGCGGTATAATTCTCTAAATAAAATAATAGTTACTTTCCATCCACTTGCTTGAGTTGCCTTTCAGCCTCATGAAGACATATGATTCTTTATGCAGGTAGTCACCGACTTATTTCCACAGTTGAGCCCAAAATTTCTGTTGTTAAGTGAGACATTTGTTAAGTTAGTTTTGCCCCATTTTACGACTTTTCTAACTACAGTTGTTAAGTGAATCACTGCAGTTGATAAGTTAGTAACACGTTGTTAAGTGAATCTGACTTCTCGATTCTGACTTTGCTTGTCAGAAGGTCATAAAAGGTGATCACATGACCCTGGGACACAGCAATGGTCATTAATATGAGCCAGTTGCCAAACTTCTGGATTTTGATCACATGAGCATGCCGATAAAATCCTATCAATTCTACACACTTCTTTGGGAATGTATCTTCACAGTGTCTATCAGTTTCTTTAATAATTGACATACAAATCAAGTTCAGTTAACAATTGTCATGCCTTGCAAAGGTTTAAAATCTGTGCTTAAAAAAAAGACACATTTTAAATAGCCCATAAACTGCTGGTTTGAACATCTCCAAGAGTCGGCCCAGACTCTTGAAATTCTTTATAAATTTCTGGAAATTCTGTATACATTTCTCTTAACTCTTCTTGTATAGGAGTCAATTGCCAATGCATCATCTTGAGCTTTCCATTTCTTTACTACCCTTTCAAAATTGTTGAGAATAGTATAGGGGTCTTGTGAAGACTTTTGTACTCTAAGTTTGATTGTTTTCTTGCAGACATTACCCAACTAGGTAACATCTTCAATGAGTCTTCTTAGGGAGTCTTCCCTAAACTATATGTGAGAGAGAGAGCATTTAGGAGTGACTTGTAATTGTAACAGCAATTGTGCTTCGATATGAAGCACTTCTTCATGTTTTCTTTGATCTTCCTCCAACATTTAAGTCTCTACCTTCAACTTTATATAAATTTAATAAATTATTTTTATTTCATATTTTTTAACCTCCCATTTCCCTCAGAGAAGGGCTCTGGGCAACATCTATCTATCTATCTTCTTCCATCTTCTTTCTTCTTTCTTCTTTCTTCTTTCTTCTTTCTTCTTCTTCTTCTTCTTCTTCTTCTTATTATTATTATTATTATTATTATTATTATTATTATTATTATTCTATCTTCTTTCTTATTATTATATTTTTTATAAAAGGCTGTATGTATGTATGTTCCAGCATAACTCTGGAACGCCTTAAGCAATTTCAACCAAACTTGGTACACAGATGACACCCTCTGGAAACAAATACTGTGGGGGTAAGACTCCCCTAACACCCCACGGTGTGTGTGTGTGCGCGCGTACCTTAATATGACTTCTGCCATGGTGACGGCTTCACAGGGCTTCCTCTTGTCGAGGAATAGAAGAATTGCGACACTGCACGACAGTACAACAGCGTGAGCCTTGACTACAGGATTTTCTAGTATAGGATTGGGATAAATAAATACTGGGGCAATGCAGGATTATCAGCTAGTAATTAATAAAGTAAACCTTTCCATTGTTCAATCTCTCTTGAACAGGTAGCTTTTCTTTCAAATATGCTCAAAAGTAGTTTATCTGTTTTCCTGCTTTTTCCATTGTGAGAAGATTAACATCAGTTTTTTGTGATTAACTGAATAGATTGGTTTATTTGAAATGACTTAAAATGTAATTGAAAGGGAAAATACCATGCGGAATCTTGCCTAAAATGCATATGTGTTATGTAGTTGTTCAGAGACTATTGTTATTAACTTTTAACATAATAATTAAAAAGTGATAAATCCCTATTGTGAATTAAAGAGGGGTTAACTAAATGATGTATAAGAAAAAGGGGCGGTACACTCAAATTAGTAATTAAAGGGGAATTTTTTTGAATTATTAGAATTAAGATGGAACTTTTGGAATAATGAAATAAAAGTATGCGATGAAATGGCAAATGTGACAGACAAAACATAAAGTACAATGAATATGAAGCTATGAGAATTATTTAAAGTAAAGAAAACCTGAAGCTATGAAGAGAAAATATATAAAATAAGTTTGAAGAATATAAGAATATTTGAAAAAAATTACAGAAAATATGAAATGTAATGATATGATATGAAATCAAATTTGAAAGATTAATATGTAACCAAAGTCATGATTGTATGGAAATCTGAAAACCTGGAATCATGCTGTTCACTAAAAGAGATGTTTTTGTAATATAAAAATAGAAAACTTTTTACAAAGAAAATTGGAATTCTGACATGCCATGGGGAAATAGGCCACATTTATACCAATACCAATGTCCCTAACAAACAAATACACATAACAGAATAGTGTGTGCTGGGTCAGATTCATAGAGCCGTCATTGGTTGCGAGCTGCCGACCCGGCGCAGGCATACCAGCAGCTGCCAGTTGACACCGAGACTGCAGAGGCGCAAACCATCGTGACCCACCGGGGAGCGTTTCGCTGCAAGAGACTCCAATTTGGAGTCAGCGTGGCACTAGGGATGTTCCAGAGTCTAATGGAATGGCTATTGCAGGGAATAAAAGGGGTGGTGCCGTACTTCGATGATGTGTTGGTGTCAGCGAAAAACAAAAGCCAATTGGGGAGCCGCCTAAGGGAAGTCCTAAAAAAATTCAAAGACGCAGGACTCAAAGTAAAAAAGGAAAAGTGCCAACTATGCACTGAAAAAGTACAGTTCCTGGGATACCTGGTCGACAAAAACGGAATCCACCCAACAGAGAAAAAGATTAAAGCTATCGAGGAAGCCCCCAGACCACAAAATAAAGCGGAGTTACAGGCTTTCCTAGGACTGATTAACTTTTACAATGTTTTTCTGCCCCAGAAAGCAACAACGGCGGAACCACTTCATAGGCTACTGGACAAGACAGCCACCTGGTCCTGGGGAAAGTGGGAAGAAACCGCGTTCCAGAAAATAAAAGACTTCCTCACATCGGAATCAGTCCTCATTCAGTATAGTGAAACCCTACCACTGACGGTGACCTGCGACGCCTCACCATTCGGTGTCAGAGCCATACTGAGCCACACTCTGCCGGTCGGGAGAGAAGCACCCATTGCATACTTCTCCAAGACACTGTCCAAGGCAGAAAGGAACTATAGCCAGCTCGACAAAGAAGCGCTAGCAACGATCACCGGCGTGAAGTGGTTCCACGAGTACCTATACGGTAGGAACTTTTCACTTATCACTGACCACAAACTGCTCCTGGGGATCCTGGCAGGGAACAAGGCCACCCCTAACATCTTGTCACCACGGATAACGAGGTGGTCCGAGTTCCTTGCCGCCTACAGCTATCAATTAATACACCGCCCCGGGAAAAGCATCTCCCACGCAGACGCACTAAGCCGCGCCCCCCTGCCGGACCTGGAAGACAACCCGGCACCCACCACAGCCACCCTGCAAATAGAGACACTGCCCAACCCACCAATGACCGCGTCGGACATTGCCAGAGAGACTATCAAAGACAGGAAACTGGCACGAGTCTTGAGCTGGGTAGAAAAAGGGTGGCCGGAAACCGAGAGGGGCGATCAGTTTAAACCGTTCCGGAACTGGCAGACTGAACTATTTATGCAAAAGGGGTGTATTTTATTGGGGGACAGAGTGGTGGTTCTGGAAGCGTTACAAAAAACGGTATTGGGCATGCTGCACGCATGCACGCACGCATGCACGCACACACACACAGGGGAGGGAGGGAGGAAGGGGGGAGAGAGAGAGAGAGAGAGAGAGAGAGATCCTTGGAAGTTGGAAGAAGTTGGATGTTTTTGGCTTAGCATCTTGGCTGAATTCAATTTCTGTAGTTTATAATAGCTTATAGCTAATGTGTCCCATAAACCAATAGGCTTATTTGAGTTGAGAAATTAGAAATCATATCCAAATCAGACTAGCACTGATGATGTTACTTACTGCAGTTGGGTAAGGAAATGTCCACAAGAAAATAACCAACCATCAAGGGCTCTACAAATCCTATCCTGTCTGATATGTGCCACAGGGACACATATGCCATCACACAGGATGAAAACGGTATCTGGACGCAGAGGTTGATACTTGTATGTTACAGGTAGCTTTTGCAGATGACAAATGAGAATCAGAAGTCTCTTAACAACTGGCTTGTTAGAAGTTATCTGAAACTGGATTTGTATGAAACCTCTACACAAAGGATATCTAACTGTAGCAACTTTAAGACCTGTGGACTCTGGACGGTTTAGGTCCGTTGGGACCGTCCAGAGGCAAAGATATCGGCTGCAATCTCAGACCTCCGAGATTGCATGCCGTATTGTCGCGACGTCAGCTCCGCCCACCAGGAAAGCAGAAACCAGGAGAGCTTGTCAATCAGAAAGATTGGCGGTTCAAATCCCCAGCACCACGTCACGGAGTGAGCTCCCATTACTTGTCCCAGCTTCTGCCAATCTAGCGGTTTGAAAGCACATAAAAACGCATGTAGAAAAATTGGGACCCCTTTGGTGGGAAGGGAACAGCGTTCCATGCGCCTTTGGCGTTTAGTCATGCCAGCCACATGACCACAGAGACGTCTTTGGACAGCGCTGGCTCTTCGGCTTTGTAACGGAGATGAGCACCACCCCCTGGAGCTGGAAACGACTAGCACGTTATGTGTGAGGGGAACCTTTACTTTTACCTTATACCTTTAAAGCCATACAGTGAATTGTTAGATCTTTCCATTTTTAGGTGCTTGTTAAAAGACTAGATGTCTCAGACATTCTGAATTCCATGAGAAGAGGTGCCAGCATTGATAATACCGTGGTGTGCATTCAAACTCAGACACATCATAAAACAGTCAGGTGCCAGATTGGATCATAGGAAGCATTGCGTCAAAGCATTTATTGATTTTAGCGTATGTATGTATGTATGTATATATTCTGGTTCTCCAGAAGCTTCAGAAACTGCAAATTATTCCTGGGGGAATTTTTCGTCCCGCTTCTCAAATGGTCCACTTGGCTGGTTAGGGAATGGGGTAGCAAGCCTTGTTGGCAATGCCTAATTGATTTGATCCTTGTTCCAAGAGCATGTATCCGTCGTCTCCCCAAACATGAGACCAACTGTGAAGAAACGCATGCAAGACATTTATTTCAAAAATGTGTACGGCAGGGGTCCCCAACCTCCAGGCCGTGGACTGGAACCGGTCTGTGGCCCAGAGGTGGTATTCAGTGGGTTCTGACCAGTTCTGGAGAACTGATAGTGGAAATTTTGAGTAGTTCGGAAACCGGCAAATCCCGCCTCTGACTGGCCCCGCCCCCATCTATTCTCCGCCTCCCATTGAGTCCCAGCTGATTGGCTGGGTCTCCTTTGGTTGCCCTGCACAGGAGAACAGAGCTGGAAAGCAGGTTAGTGGGGGTGAGGAGGGAATGGGGATTTTGCACAGGATCCTTCCCCTGCATGCCCACCAAGCCACACCCACCAAGCCATGCCACACCCATCAAGCAATGCCCGCAGAACCGGTAGTAAACATTTTTGAATCCCACCACTGCCGTGGCCCATTGGAAATTGGGCCGCACAAGCGGTGGGCGAATAGGTAAAGGTTCATTTGCGCATGTGCGGGAACTAGACCGCACGTATGAAACCATTCGCCCCACTCACTCCACCCCCGTTGCTGCTGCCGGGCCATGGAGCTAGAATTGTTGGGGAGTGCTGGTATAGGGAATCACGCCGACTGGGGAACTCTGGGAGTTGCAGTCCATGCATCTTCAAGCAGCTAAGGTTGAGACAATCTGCAATAGTAGAAGCTCCCCTCTAGTGACCTACCCTGCCAGCGTCCCCTTCCCTTCACTCACCTGTTCTTCACAATCCAATGCTTGGTGCTGTTATAACCAACCACTAGCATGGCATGAGTTAAGCGTGAGTCTCCAACCCAGGGATTTTTAAAGATACCTAGAGAAAGAGGAACAAGAAAACATTTAACAGATTAACAGAGTGGGAAGGGACCTTGTAGGTCATCTAGTTCTAATCCAACCCCCTGCCCAAGCAGGAGACGCTACACCATTATCTGACAGAGGGCAGACCAGTCTCTTCTCGAAAGCCTCCAGTGATGAAGCTCCCACAATTTCCGAAGGCAATTTCTGTTCCATGGGTGGATTGTCCTCATGGTCAGGAAATTCCTCCTTATTTCTAGGTAGAATCTCTCCTTGCTCAGTTTCCATCCATTATTCTTTGTCTGGCCTTCAGGTGCTTTGGAAAACAGCTTGAGCCCCTCAAATAGCAATAGCACTCAGACTTATATACTGCTTCATAGTGCTTTTACAGCCCCTTACAGAGTCAGCCTATTGCCCCCAACAATTTTGGGTCCTCAAATCACTCAACTGAGAAGGACAAAAGGCTGAGTCAACCTTGAGCCTGGTGAGATTTGAACTGGCCAAACTGCAGTCAGCTGGCAGTCAGCAGAAATAGCCTGCAGTACTGCATTATCACCACTGTACCGCCGTGGCTCAGCATTGGAACATTTGGTTAAATGAAACATCCATGCTTCTTTGAGAGATCATCTGGATTTCCAAAAAGGACAGCCAGGAATGTCACTCCACCTTAGAATTTACTCTTTTTAATGGGAGCACCTCTCGTGTAAAACAGGCACTCCTGAAGAGGCTTTTACCTAAAGCTCTTCAGATATTTTTCAAGGAAAGTATGTCTTCCTACCTGGGCTAATAATATTCACCCTCATACACAAGTTGAAGATTGCCCATCTATGGTGTTGGATAAAGGAACATTCAAAGGAACCTTCAAAGTTCAAATGTTCTGACCTCGGCTTCCCCAAAAAGCACTAAGCCAATTCTTTGTCCCGGCAAAACCCCTTTTATTAAATGAAGGTGAATTTCTTGCATTCACATTCAGCCAAAGGCTTGGCAAACAGTCTTTCAAGGGTCTAATTAGGAGCACAGACCTTATCTAGCCTGGAGAGCTGCCAAGTAAATATTTCCAAACGCAGTGCTGACAAGGAAGGACTCGGCACAGAGTCTCTATTAATGCACAGACAGATCTTCACACTGCTGCAATGAAGGAATTGTTTCCTGCAAAAGCCCCCTCCCCTTTTGCTTCTCTTTTAATCCCTATGGGAGGGGCCATTCACCGTCCACCTGTGGCCTTACTCCCATGTCGACCCTGAGTTCGTAATTGTTCTTTCCTTTTGGCACATGCGCAGGCTGGGAAACGGCTCCTGCTGCTCCCCCGCCTCACTGCTGTCTGAGCCCGAAGGCAGCTGATGACTGCCAGCCTGCCCTGGCTCCATCTCTGCACCTGACGCAGAGCCCTCGTCTGAGCCTTCCTCAGCCTCCAGGACTGGCCCAGGTTCCGCCCCAACCTCCTCACTACTGTCCGACTCTGCTGCCAGCTCCTCAGCCCGGCCACAACAGAGCCCGCCCCCCCTTCCTATTCTGCAGAAACCTTACCCGACTTGTAAAAGTGAAACTCGGAGCTCCGAGCATCCACTCCGACAGCAATTGGGCCAACCGTGGCCACCGCCTCCAGGAGGGCCTTTTCATCTCCTGTCAGGATGAGCCCCATTGTGGAACACTTCGTGATAGAATTCTCAGCTTCATAACGACATTTATAATCGTCCTGCAGAAAAATAAAGAGCGACCGGAGTTAGTCCCAAAGAGAATACAGAATAAGAGAGTTAGAAGGTCCTCTTGTCCACTTGCATTAACAGAGGGATCTAATCAAGATCAAGGGAGGTACTAATACCACTCTCTTAAAGCCTTAGTAAGACCACACCTGGAGTCCTGCATCCAGTTTTGATCACCACAGTATAAAAAAAGAGGTTGAGACTCTAGGAAAAAGTGCAGAGAAGAGCAACCAGGATGATTAGGGGAATGGAGACTAAGGCATATGAAGAACGGTTGCAGTAACTGGGCCTGGCTAGTCTAGCAAAGAGAAGGACCAGGGGAGACATGAGAGCAGTCTTCCAATATTTGAGGGGCTGCCCCAGAGAGGAGGGAAGGGGGTCAAGCTATTTTCTAAGGCACCCAAAGGCCAGAGAAGGAATAATGGATGGAAACTGAACACGGAGAGATTCAACCTAGAAATAAGGAGACATAGTTTGAAGCACACACAGGAAGACATAGTGAATTACCTTTCCATCATATGGGTAGTTTTCCTCTGAATTGATCCCTCCTGTCTCCTGCACGTATTCAAAAGCTTGGGGCATAAGTCCACCATTGCACCCACCACTCCCCTGCTCCTTAGAACAGTCGATCAGATTTTGTTCGCTCAGCGAGACCAGCTTCCCCGTCTTCTTGAAATGCATGCCTTCCAGAGCACCAGTGGCACTGAAGGCCCAGCAAGAGCCACAAGAACCCTGTGCAAAAACAAAGCTGCAATGACGTACGGAGCAAACCAGTTGATGTTACTTGTTTGCAGTTCTTGGTAGTAGGCAGCTGGACAAGATATGAGTTCCGATAGGGGAGAGAATATATGCATCTCGGGGTTGTAAGGAAGTCTCCTTGGTGCTCTCTGAACTTGA